CAACATACTATATAATACATATTTCAATTGTTGAAAAAACTTGCTTTTTAAATAGTACAAGTTTATTCACATGGCAGTCTTGAGCTATACTTCCATAGAATTATATTTAATGCTGGGAATTAATATTGGTCAAAATAATGTAAATTCACTAATGTATCTAATTTCTGGGAAAGTCAAAGTACTTATTCCAGGGTTGATAATAGCTCTAACACATACACTTTCAATCTATAATAAGTTGTTTTGTTTCTAGAAGCACTTTAGTTTTCAGAGTATTTTTCATATGCAGGATTTTACTTAACTTTTACAACCCCGTTAGGTAAACGGGAAAAGCATTATTATTCCACAGAGATACAAGGAAACAGGCTTTGAAACCTTCAGGGATCTGCCCAACTTGGTCCGAAGACTTGGAGTCAAGTCCAGGAAAGATCAGTAAAATCTCATGGAAATATCTTGATGATGAACCAAGTCAATGTAACGTGACCTGTCAAGATTATACATTTTTCTCTACTATATATTTTTCTTAGAACCTTAAAATATGGGGACATCTGGGTGACTCAGTCACCTGCTTTCGGTTCAGGTCATGATCCCAGGGTCCTGGGATCGAGCCCCGCATCGGGCTCTCTGCTTGGCCAGGAGCCTGCTTCCCTTCCTCTCTCTCTGCCTGTCTCTCTGCCTACTTGTGATCTCTGTCTGTCAAATAAATAAATAAAATTAAAGAAAGAAAAGAACTTTAAAATATGGACATTTTAAAGAGGAAGAAATTTTATCCTGGTATTCAATTACTTATTTAAATGCCCTCTTCCAAAGCCAGATGAGAAAAATTAATGACATTTAACTTATTTATGTAATAAAAAAATATTTTCATGGTCCCTGAGGATCACACTGTCACCAAGCTGTGGCACAATACTGAAAAATGACTATCTTCTTCAAACTATGGTTTACCTAATTTCAGCAGCCACTTGATAAGGTGTCGTTTTCCAGACTTCCCCTTTCACTGTTTTCCCATCAGCCACTCTCACTGTGATCACGTTGTTTGTACTCCCCTTTTTGTCAGTAACGGCAAATGGGAGCTGATGGTCTTTCTTCAATATTTCAAACAGCTTCAATCTTTCCTTCACAAAATCTGGCTGATTTGTCACCTAAAAGTCATTAGAATACAAGAAGGTTAACATCCACAGGCCACTTTTTTCTACCACTTCAACCTGCAGTAAGGCTCACCCCATTCTCTGCCCACCCCAGGTCTTTTTTAACTTCCCTCCCATTCACTTTCCACCTCCTTATGTCTCAGGGTCCAGCTCAAAGCCTACCTCTTCTAACTACCATATCTCCCTCTACCATAGGTTCAACGCCCATGTATGCACAGTTCCACAATTCACCACCTACCCATATGCCATCCCACTTCATTCTCAGTTGTCTTTCCTGTTTGTCTGATCTCAACCAGACTGATCCCCCTGAGGCCAGGTTTTCCTCCTTTGCTCCTGTCAACTGTTTATGCTCAAGACCTACTCTGGTTTGTTTTCATGACTTATATGGTGGCTAATTTCCTTAACACAAAAGAAAAGCTCTGCTATCTCAGCTTAAATAGATGAAGAAGCACTTCATCTTGGTTCTTTGTGGCTGGCTCAGCTCGAAGTTAAGACATTGGTAGCTAAGGTTTGCAAGGTTTTGAATATACTACTAGTGTCGTAATTTAATTAGTAATTACGTTTTAATTAAAAATCAGGCAATTAATTGTATCAGAATATTTAAATGACATGGAGTATTTTACGTTATTTCCGTAGCAACAACTCACCTCGCTCTCAGGCCTGCTTTCCTCCTTCATTTTAGCATTCTTTTCTTGGGTTTGACTGGAAGGAGGCTGAGAAATAAAGGTGAGTTATAAATAACTCATACCAATATGGAGAAAAAGGAACACACTGGAAACAGGAGAGGGACATGCCAGCAGTCAGCTGGTGTTCCAAGTTGGACGCTGGGCTTCCCTGACCACCGCCTAAAACTCTAGATGGGCAAGTCATTTGCTGGGGTTCCATCCTTCCTGTCTGTGCATTTTCACACACTCTTGCTTAGTATATTTAACATCTTTTGCTCTCTAAAGTTTTTTCCCCCTAAACTTCAAACACAATGTCGCTGGAAAATGTTTGTGTAGCTGCTGCGGCACTTTAAATGCACTATTGTAGGAAGATGTTGCACTGCAGTACCCTTGGTAAAGAACTCAAGAACATCCCGCAGACTGAGAAAGCTTTTAGAACTTCAGAAAATGTATTATGTCACCCGACAATAATTTGTCCTTCAATGGACCAAAATATTAAAACACTCTATTAAATAGTAAAGCTAAATATACAGCTCTCAACAAGTGAACAAAAACAAAAACAAAAACCACCTGTCGTAAATAGCTCAGAACCAGCCATTCATTAGACGGAATGGATGAGTTTATTTACGTAGCCGTTGGTCTTCCTGCTAAGGAAATAGTGAGTTTTAAACACTCCAGCATCTTTTTCAAAGAAAGGAAAATGCTATTTCTGCTACCGAAGAAAATGCGTGGCAATTTACTGGAAGAGCTGAGAAATGACACCATTAAGCCAGTCCGGCAACTGCTGGAAATACAGGGTTCCAAACGGTGTCCAGGCCCTTCACTAGTTCCCTGGGCTGTAGCAGGTGCACAGCGCATCGTTCCGTGAGGCTCGGGCCCTGCAGCGCGCCGCGGCCGCACCCGTCCTTCCGGCGGGATCACCGGCACCCGTGCACCGTCGCACCGGCCGTGCCACCCGTCCCGGGCTCTAGGCGGCACCCGCCCGCGTTCCCCGCAGCGACCCCGCCGCCGCGTTACCTGAACGCCCGCAGCTGCGCGCCTGGCCTCCTGCGCCGCCGCCGCCGGCGCCGCGCTCTCCAGCTTAGCCTGCTGGCTCAGCTCCTCGGCGAGGCACAGTCGCAGGCGGTAGAGGTGGTGGCGCAGGTCGCGGTTCTCGGCCCGGAGCTGCGCCACCTCCCGCGTCAGACACGGCCCCTCCGCCTGGCCGCGGTTGGGCGCGTTCAGCTGCTCGTCCCTTAGGCGCTGGACCTCCGCCCATAGCCAGCGGATGTCCTCCTCCTGCCGCTCCAGGCGTGAAGCCACGGCCTCGGCCGCCATGTCCGCCGGCTCCCCAAGCCACCGACGCCGCTCAACGGGCAGTCGCCGGGGTGAAGGCAGTAGCCTCCGCGAGGAGTGGGAGATAGCGGCGCAGCTACAGAAAACAGCGGAGAGGCGGGGCGTCACGGAGAGGCGGGGCGACGAGGAGAAGAGGGGCAGGGCGGGGACTATAGGAGACGCGGGGAGGCGGAGTTACGAAGGGCGGGGCTCTCGGCAGACTGGACCCATAGAAGCCGCGGGGAGGCGGAGCGAGGAGGAGAGGCGGGGCAATAGAGAGGGGCAGAGCACGGCACACTGCGGAGCAGGGACTAGAGGAGCCTCGGGGAGGCGGGGCGATGGGGGAGGCGGGGCGACGGGAAAAGGAGGGGCGGGGCTCACTGAAGGGCGGGGACTATAGGAGCAGCGGGGAGACGGCCTGACTGGCAGAGGTGGGGCGGGGCACTGCAGGGCTAGGGTTATAGGAGCCGCCAGGAGGCGGGGCGAGGGGTGGGGTGAGTGCAGGGCTGGGGCTGAGGCTGGGCTCACCGCGGCGGTGAAGTGTTTGGGGTGGTCAGGGCGCGGTGGTCACGCGGAGTGGTCAGGACGTGGAGAGTGGCGTGGGGACTGAAAAGGCTGACCGCGCCTTCGGGGCTAGCCATGAATATCACCATGAGTTGGTTGAAACGCAAATTGTCCAAAATCTTGGGAAGATTTCCTAGCGTGGCTCTTTTTCTGGCCGTTACCATCCTTCCAACTTGCGACTAGGTTCTGAAAAGTAACTGTTGAGAGTCCACCATCTTTGGCTTTCATACCGAAGCTGACCAAGTGCAGCGGCCGCCGGGCCAGGGGGCACGGAAGACCTCTAAGGAAGTTTAAAGCTCACGGGCAATTGCTAGCTCCTCGCTACAGGTTAGGGCAAACGCCACCGACATTCCTGTATACCACGTAACTGTGAGCGTGAACCTTCCTGTAAGAGGAACACAAATTGATTTTTATTAACATTCTTGGGGCTTAGAATGTGGCAAACATTGTTTTAAGCTCTTGATAATTACTAACTCCTCTAGTACTTATAGCAAAAAATACTATTATTATGTCCAGTAAATTGATGGATAAACTGAATCACAGAGCGGCTAAGTGTCTGGGATTTTTTTAAGATTTTATTTATTTATCTGACAGATAAATTTATTTATTTATAATATATAGATTATGTAATATATATTTATTTACATATGTATATTTATAATTTTTATTCATTTATTTATTTGGGGTTTTTTTTTCTATTGTTTTATTTATTTATTTGTCTGACAGAGACAGAGTGAGAGAGGGAGCACAAGCAGGGAGAATGGGAGAGGGAGAAGAAGGCTTCTTAATGAAGGCCTGATCCCAGGACTCTGGGATCATGACCTGAGCTGAGGGCAGACACTTAACAACTGAGCCACCCAGGCACCCAGGGAGGCTGTGATTTAACCAAGGTCACACAAACACTGCACGACAGAGCTGAGCTCCAAACTCAGATAATCTGATGCTAGTGTCTATGTACTTAACACTATGGTGCCTTTCAACATTGGTAAGATTTAATTGAACGCATCATATGATTAAATAGAGGTAATAAAGGCCATCAGAATTCCAAAATGGGAGAACTTAGTTGGACTGATGAGATTAACACAGAGAGCAATTGCTCTGGAAAATAAAGGTTGGCAGTTATTAGAAAGGTGGAGAGGCGAATGAATGCCACTCTGGGAGCAGATCTGCCTTCCAGGGGCTGAGGGGGGCAGCTAATTGGGGTAAGCTAACTGGAACCACAGACAGCTCCCAGCAGGAAGTTCTGTAATGTATGGCACTGAAACCACGCTATCTTTTTCTTCCCTTCCCTGGTAAGTTTCTGGACAGAGTAACACAGACTCACTGTCTGCACCCTCTTCCCAGTCACTTCTCAACCTGCTGCCATCTGGTTCCCACTCCTCCCATTCCTCCATGACTCATGTATGATCAAATGCTATCCCCCTGCTTAGGGCCCCCCCTCAAAAGTTTTCTCAACCTCCTTTGTAATTTGTCTCTCTTCAGCCTCTACCTCCAATCCTGAGACCACCAGCGATCTGCTGTCTGTTGCTAAAGATTTGTTTGCGTTTTCTAGAGTTTTCTATAAATGGAATCATATACTATGTACTGGGGTTTTTTGGCTCCTTTCATTCAGCATAATTCTGAGATCTATCCATGTCTGTGGGTATGTCTGTTGCTCATCCCCTCACCCACTCCTGGTAATATTCCATTATATGGCTACACCACAATTTGTTTATCCATTTGTGTGTTGTTAGACATTTGGGTTGTTTCCAGGTTTGGGCTAGGATCTACCTGATGGTGAGCTCATCAGGTTACTGTGGTTATTTCCCCAGTTTCAGAAAGCAGGGTGTGAATAGACATACTCAGCAACTGGCAGACTGTCCACAGTGGTTCCCCAATCCATGGACTTAAAGCTAGTCTGGTAGAAAAGACCAAGTGGAACCACTAGAACTTTCTCAGTAGTAAACCAAAAGCAATCCCATAGTCCTGGAGGAATTGCAGAGATTACTGTCACCCTCAGTGACCTGAACGATGCAGCACGGTGATTCTCACCACACCTCCATTTGCCTCCCTTATTTGGACTTTGGGGAAGGCAAATGGATGAAGAATTATAGTGGATTGTCATTAATTTAATTAGACGGTGTCTCTAGTAGCAGCTTTTCTTCCAGATATGCTTTCATTGGTGGAGTAAATCAGCATAATCTCTGGTACCTTACATGCAGCTATTGATCTGGCTAATGCTTTTACTTTATACCTATTAGTTAAAGGCCATCAAAAGCAGTTTTCATTCAGTTGGCAAGACAAGCAATACATTCATCATTTCAACCTAGGACTCTCTAGCTTTACGTCATAATATAGTCCTCAAGGACTTTGATGGCTGCTCTATCTCAAAGACATCGCACCGATGTCCTATCATGAATAATATGCTGCTGATTCTACTTAGTGAGGATATCTTATGAAATGGCAAACACAGTTGACCCCTAAACAATATGAGGGTTAGGGACATCACCGCCCTGTGCAGTGAAAAATCTGCATATAACTTTTGACTCCCCCAAAACTTAACTATGAATAACAAAAGACTTGAGGTCGACCAGAAGCCTTACCAATAATATAAAGCCAATTAACACATACACTGTATGTTATATGTATTATGAGTTATATTCTTACTAATCAGTAAGCTAGAAAAAAGAAAATGTTATTAAGGAAATCATAAGGAAGGAAAAATACACTTTCAGTACTCTATTGTATTTATTAAGAAAAAAAAAGTCTGTAAGTAAGTGGACCCATGCATTTCAAGCCTGTTGTTCAAGGGTCAACTATATGATAGTCACCTTGAGAAGGCACCTGAAAGACATAGGGAGGGAAATAAATCCCAAAATTAAAAATTGCAGGAGACTGCCATTCAGCGAAATTCTTGGGGGCCCAGTAGGTCAAGGCATCTAGAGATGTCATTTCTAGGGTGAAGGAAAAGTTGCTGAATCTTGACTAGTCTCACTAAGAGACACAATGCCTAGGGAGCCACTTTGGATTTTAGAGACAATGTATACCTCATTTGAGCACATATGTTACTCTGACCCAATTACTGTGTAGCTCAAAAGATTGTAGTTTTGAGAAGGAGCGAGAGCAGAAGGTTCTAAATAGGTCAAGCTGCTATGCTAGTTACGTTTACCCGTGGACCACAATGATTCAACAGATTTGGTGGTGTTGGAAGTGTTCATTATAGGTAAGAGTAGTATGCGTAACCTCTGACAGAACTTATAAAGGAATCACAGTGTAGTCTTTTAGGACTGGGGAAAAACACATGTCGTTCTTTATTTCTGAGAAGCAGCTTTTGGTTTGCTCCTGGACCACAGTGGAGACTGATCTCTTGATCATGGGCCATCAAGTTACCAACCTACCTAAACTGTCCATCATGAGCTGGGCGTTGTCTGACCCACCAAGCCCTAAGTTTAGGTATGTATATTAGCACTCGACCATCAAATAAAGAGGTACACATAGGGTCAGGCTTAAACAGAGTCTAAAGGCACAAGTTAGTGACACAGTCACCCGTATGACCACAGCTCCAATGGCCTCATGGGAAATTCTGTAGCACCAGTTCACTGAGGAAGAAAAAAAATCTGAGCCTGGTTTATAAATTTCTCTGCACTCTTGTGGACTAGAAGCTCTACAAGTTGACTCCTGAGAAATTTCATTCCTGCCTTAACTTCTGATATGACAAAATATTCTAGACTCATCTGTACTTTTGGGATCTGTCACATCTCCAAGGTGCCATGCCTAACTGATATTTAGTTTGCAAAATCTGGCTACTGGCAATGATTCTTATTTCTAGGACTTGTCTGTATTTAGTGCTGCAGATAAAATATGATGCACAGCTAAATTTGAATTTCAGATAAGTAATTGGGGTTGTAAGCATGCCCTATGCAATATTTGGAACATATGAATACTAAAAAAATCAAACAAAAAATTCAATGAGATAAAGGACACTTTATAATGTAAAAAATGTTACATTCTGCAAGGACAATATAGCAATTAAAAATATATATGAGGCAAACTACACAGCACTCACCTATATAAAATATAAACTTCAGGAAATATAAGGAGAAAGAGATCAAACACACTAATAATGGGAAAATTTTACACATTATTCAAGACAGGTCAAGTATACACACAGAAATGTAAGAATGTAAAAGACCCCCAAAATATAATAAAAAGGTTAACGTATATATCAAAAACTACTTGAGCACACACACATTCTTCACAAAGATTAATCATATACCAAGAGCCAAAGAAAACCTCGGTAGCTTCAATAAACTAGAAATATACAGGCAACATTTTTGGATCCCAGTACAATGGAATTGGAAATTAGAAAGGAAACAACTTTTTAAAAAGCCCTTCCACATGGAAGTGAAATGACCTCTATTAAACAACTCTTTAGTAAAAGAAGAAAAAAAAGAAATCAC